AGTCCTGGGCAAGTTGCGAGGGCACCTCGCGCGCGACGGCGCGGTTCCTGGGCGTGGAGCGCGCGGCACCTCTCAGTAGATTGCGAGAAGGTCCTTCTGCGCAGACTAAGCCGTGAGAGGGTATCGGGCGGGAGAGGTTGCTGTGGCATCCAGGGGCTACGGGCGCAGTTTGAGTATGAAAAACACTGTGCGAGCCCCAGGGAAGGCACTGCAATTGAAAATTATCCTGGCGAAGGACCCAACCATATGCAGGCGTGAATGCTGCAAGGCAAATTTGGCGAAGGACCTATGGGGCCAAAAAGCGTGTGAGGGGTGTGCCGAAATTTGGGTAGTACTGACATGCGGGCGCTGGCATTGGCGCCCTTAGTGGAGGTCACTATGGGGCCAAGAAGCATGTGAGGTTTGCGCAGAACTTGGGCGGCGCCGCCATGCGAACCTTGCCACTGGGGCCTTCGGGGGAGCTCCCTGTGGGGCCACGAGACGTGAGAGCGGTGTGCCGAAATGGAGGCGGCGCGGCCATGCGAAGCCTGACGCTGGGGCCTTCGGTGGAACCCCCATGTGATGCCATGAGACGTGTGACGGATGTGCTGGAATGGAGGCGGCGCCGCCATGCGAACCCTGCCACTGCGGCCCTCGGTGGAGCTCCCATTGGGGCCACGAAACATGTGAGGGGCGTGCCGAAATGGCGCGGTGCCGCCATGCGAACCTTGCCACTGGGGCCTTCGGGGGAGCTCCTGGTGGGGCCACGATGCGCGTGAGGAGTGCCGAAATGGAGGCGGCGGCGCCATGCGATTCCTTCCACTGGGGCCTTCGGTGGAGCTCCCTATGGAGCCGCGAAGCGTGCGAAGAGAGTGCAAAAACGGCGCGGTCACGCAAGCGATTCCTGCAGTTGGGATCTTCGGTGGGACATGGGGCCGCGAGACGTGCGAAGGGTGTACCGACATGGGCGCGGTCACGAATCTGATTCCTGCCGCTGGTGTGAAGGGTGTGCTGGTGTGAGCGCGGTCACGCATGTGATTCTGGGGCCTCTGGTGAATGCCCCTACGAAGCCACGAAGCGAATAGGGATATGCCGATAAGAGCACGGTCAAGCATCCGATTCCTACCACTGGGGCATTCGTTGGTGCTCCCTGTGGGGCCTCGAAACGAGTGAGGAGTGTGCCTACATGGGCGAGGTTACGCATGCGAGCCCTGCCGCTGGTGCCGTCGGTGGAGCTCCCAGTGGGACCACGAGACGTATGGGGAGTGTGCCAAAAGGGGCGGCGCCGCCATGCGAACCCAGCTTCTGGGACTTTCGGTGGAGCTCCCTTCAGGGCCGCGAGACGTGTGAAGGGTGCACCGACATGGATACGGTGGCGCCATCCTGCCACTGGGACCCCTCGTGGAGCTCCCCTCGGGGCCACGAAACGTGTGAGCTGTGTGCCGACATGGGCACGGTCACGCATGCGATTCCAGCCGCTGGGGGCTTCGATGGAGCTCCCGATGGGGCCACGAGACTTGCGAAAGGTGTGCCGACATGGGCGCGGTCACGCATGTGATTCCTGCCACTGGGGCCTTCGGTGGAGCTCCCTGTGAGGCTACGAGGCGCGTGAAGGGGTGCGCTGGAATGGAGGCGGCGCCGCCATCAAAACCCTGCCACAGGGGCCTTCGATGGAGGTCGATTTCTGCCACTGGGGCCTTCGGTGGAGCTCCCTATGGGGCCACGAAGCGCGTGGGGGGGGGCGTAACGAAGTGGACGCGATCACTCAAGTGATTCCTACCACTGGAGCCTTCGGCAGAGTTTCCTGTAGGGCCACGAAGCGCGTGAAGAGGTGTAACGAAGTGGACGCGATCACACAAGTGATTGTTGCCACTGGGGCCTTCGGTGAGCTCCAAGATGCGCGTGGTGTGTGTGTGTGTGTGTCTGTGTGTCTGTGTGTCTGTGTGTCTGTCTGTCTGTGTGTCTGTGTGTCTGTGTGTCTGTGTGTCTGTGTGTGGGTGTGTGGGTGTGTGAGTGTGTGTGGGTGTGTGTGTGTGTGCGCCTGTGCCTGTGCCTGTGCCTGTGTCTGTGTCTGTGTCTGTGTCTGTGTCTGTGCGTCTGTGTGTGTGAGTGAGTGTGTGAGTGTGTGAGTGTGTGAATGTTCGCAGGTTTGTCTGTGCAGCGCTGTGTGTGTGTGCGTCTGTGGGTGTACGTGTGTATGTTTGTGAAGGTGTGTGCGTGTGTGTTTGTGTGTGAATGCAGGTATGCGTGTGTGTGTGTGTGTGTCTGTGTGTGCATGCGTGCGTGCGTGCGTGCGTGCGTGCGTGCGTGCGCGGGCGGGCGGGCGGGCGGGCGGGCGCGCGGGCGGGCGCGCCCGCGCGCGCAAGACTGTGCGTGCGTGCGTGCGTAAGTGCGTGCGTGCGTGCGCGCGCGCGTCCGCGCGTGCGTGTGTGCGTGCGTGCGTGCGTGTGTGCGTGCGTGCGTGCGCGCGCGCGTGCGTGCGTGCGTTCGTGCGTGCGTGCGTGCGTGCGCGCGCGTGTGT